ATATGGAAAAATAAAAATCAAGTTTAAGTCATTTTATTCGACTTTGTCTGTCCGCCACAAATATTGAAATCGTAATATCACTAGAAAAGTGTTAAAAGCACATAAAATCATATTAGAATACATACATTTACAGTAAATGTTGTTATAATCATCATAAATTGTAGAGAACGTAATATGAAAACATCTGTGACCCTGTGTTGTCATCTTATTTAGTGGTCTTTAAGAGCTCAATATTGGCATTTTCCATGATAGTTCCAATATCTACTGTTTGGCGTCATTGTAAGCGCCACTCGTTATTGGTAAATTTAACATAAATTAGTTTATTTTATACTATTGCAAAATAATTTTAATAACTGTATTCATTATTTAATTAACCTTACAAAATCATCATATTTTATAATGTCTTAGAGCAAACCACATTCACAAATAGAGTCCACGATGTACTGTAAACATTGCCAAATTGTAAACATGTATATTTACAAGTATGTATACATGTATTCGTAAATTTAGATTACTTTTTTTCCTGTACTATATTAAAAACTAAAATTTATTTGTTTGTAAGCTTAAAATAGATTCTTATTAATCATATATTATTAAAAATGCATTTATAAATAAAATACAGAACTGGGAATGGTATTTGTGGTTTAGCTTAATGACAAGTAAATTTGGAGACAAGTAAATTCAACTTGCATCATTTTTCAATTTAAGTCACCTCTCCTGGAATCAATTACCGACGTAAGGTGAGGTATATGTGTAGTGGTCATGTGTGAACACTGAAAATGGCAACGCCATGCAATACAGTATTTGGATCATGAAGAGATAGGATGTTGAAATTGGGTTGATTTGCACAGAATGATAGGATTTATATTATTTAGCAATAATAACCAATAAAATAGAATTTATAGTTATAGGCCAATAAGTGTGTGAGTTGAAGAAATTGCAAAAGAAACATGAACAGAAATGTAAGAAACATAAATCATTGGAAAGAAAAATTTAAAAGGAATCATGAAAACCCCAAAATGACTAATGTCAAATGATGCAGATTGTATAGAGTGTGCAAGAAAACCAAGCACATCAACTCCTATGGGAATACTTCAAGTGCACCATTGCCTGAACTGATATATATTGACTTGGAATATGATAACCACCAAAACTTTATTTGTTTAATCTTATCCTTCCTCTAATAACACGAAGACGGATTAACAATCTACCTTAAACAATTGCGATTGTGTCCCGTAGACAACAGTTCCAATTTTTTTTTTACCTGAATGACATCTAGTTAAGTCTTTTCTCTAACTACAAATTTTCATCTTCAGATGGCCCATGAAATTTGGGAAGCCTACCATTTTCAGAATTTTTTAGAATTACACCAAAATATTGCCATAGAATCAAAGTTTAATTTTCAAAACCACCATTGACAATGACCCACTTTCCTACCAAAACTTCACTACTCCCATTATAAGTTTCACGGAGGGATGGGAAGAAATGCAATGACCTTGAAGAATGGGTTCATCCTAGACCAAAAATAGCACATGATAAGTGATTTCTCCCTCTCATGGAGTATACAATTTATTCTGTTTAAATCATTTTAAATTTCCCACCTCCTTGCTTTAAGAAAATTCAATTTTATGACTTAATGCGAGTATTTTTTTCATTTAAATAAAATTTACAAATTTAATTTAAATAGAATCATGAAATATTTTGTATGATATAGAAATGACATAGCTAATTACGTAATTGATTCTATATAAAGTTTTCATGTTTTGTAAGAAGTGAATAAAGTGTTCTTTAATAAAAAAAAAAAAATGTATATAATTATGTGCAAAATGGGCTTAAATAGACTTGGTCAAATATTACATAATGGAAAAGGGAAATGCCCTTAATAGAGAATTCCTTAAAAGGGGAAATTCCTTGACCTTAATAGGTCAAGAAATAATGTCATAATTAGTCAGGAGATTACCTGTATGGTAACATGATGAATTGTGGCTATATCAGCCCTGCAATTGTGAAGTTCAGGAGGTTCCATCTCAAATATTCTATTTTCTGATTTTACTTTTTTGTAATTATCTGTACAATGAACTGCTAATGGAAGCAAACTAACAAAATAGTAAAAATTGGAATGTTGAGAAATACCTTTAAACTACATACTAGTTAAGTGTAAGTTTATCATATGTTCAAGCCAAACTTGGACTTTTCAGATAATTATGAATTTATAGAAACTAAAAAGTTTTTAGCTTTATTTTGGAAAGCTGAAAGTTCTCAAATTAACATTTCACATGAATGTAGAGAACAGAAGTAACTTAATAAAAAATTGTTTTTTCTTATATTGTTAGATATATAGTAATAGTATTTTTATTTATATAAAACATAACATTTTTTGCCAAATGTTATGTTTTACTAAAACTAGGAGCAAAAAACACAAAAGATTTCATTTAAGTAATATAGCTGAACAATATTCTAAAAAATCCAAGAGTAATTGAATCATTATTTGCTGTAACATTGTTAATTATGTATTTAAGAATAATCAACTTACATCTACCAACAATACATTTATAAATGACTGAATGTGCTGCTGGTATATTTAAATTGAATATTCATAAATACAGTTAAACTTAGTTATAGCAAGCACTAGGGGGCTGGCAACATCATGTTATAATAATTACTCATTGTATCCATGAAGAGTAGTGAGATAACTAAGGAGCAAATGGGTGGCTATTCTGGCTGCAAACACAGGAAACATCTCATGATGACAAAATCTGTAGCTACACCATTGATGATTAGTGAAATTTATCTTCTAACTTTTAATTTTAAATAACTCGATAGATTCAATAAACATAAAAGTATGTTATTACATTATGTAATATGCCAACAATTACCGGGTTATATCAGGCTATTAAATTGCGATTATGTTAAATTAATTACTAAATAATTTGTCACTAGACGGAAGCATTAGGCATCATCTCTTATTAGATTTAATAATTATAATTAAATTAAATAAGAAAATTCTAGAAGAAAAAAAATTGACTAGGAGTGGAACTTGAACCCACAACTGCTGCTTACTATGCAGATTGTTGCCAGTTATGTGCTACTCGAGCCTCCAATCAGTCATATGTAACCGATGATGGTTATCTCATGTTTAAATATATCTGGAAGAGATCAGACTGGTATTGCTGAAAAATATCCAAAGTCATCCAGGCTTTTCTGTTTGCAGTATAATCCACAGGAAGATTCCTTACATTCTTAAACATCATGATTTTCTGATAATTAACAGTTTTTCTTATCAGTTCCTGTCTTATTTGTACATAAAAACACTGACAAGCAGTTCTTTGATTTTTTACCAACACAGTTTTCCTCTTTGAATTTAGACATGTAGTCAGGCATCAGATTATAAAAAAGTCTTGTTTTATTGTCATTATAGATATCTTCATCATTGAAATCTTTCCTCATTTCTGCCTAAACACAGTTAATCCATTCATGTGGTTACTGGATCAGCATATTGAGATTCTTCACTAATTTTACTCTCCCAACTTTTAAACAGGGGAAGTATGGAGATCAGTCAAAAAATAACCTCCCCAGATTTTTATATTTTTGGACTTGGGACCTTGAAACATTAAGAAATGCAAAAAAATTTGGGGGTTTTTCTGTATGTAAGGATGTTAGTGTGTGGGGGGCATGATTTTGTTCACCCTGTTTGAAGCTTAATTACTCCTGTGCTTTTTGTTGAAAATTTCTGAAATTTTGGCAGAGAGGTTTGTTTATTAGAGGGATTGGTGCTATTAAATTTTGATGGTTAAAGGTCAAGGGGTGGGTAGATAAAGGGGTTTGTATGTATTTCCAATAGGGCCTGACTTAATGACAATTTTACTCATTATTAGCATTTACAATTTTTTATAAAACCTATCCCTACAATCAAACTTAAGTTTTTGCCATTTTATAATAGTTAAAAATATAAAAAGTTTTTTTAATAAAATATTGTAACAGATGGTGTCATCAAATGTTGCTGGATTTTTCGAATAAACAATATTATGTTGATTTTTGAATTGGTCCAGCCAACTGTTGTTTGCATACAAAATTGTCACATCCAAATTATCTAGTAATTTTTCTTGCTTGAGTTTTCAAGATTGGTCTGTCTATTGAAAATCCAGCACTTTATGTAATAAACCATTGAAGCAGTGCTTCATTGATGTTTGCATGATCACATTTTGTAAATTTTTTTTGTTTCAGTTATATTGTTCTCCAGTACCAATAGGTAGACATCTTTATTTTTCTTACTTACTCAGTTTCCATAATGTTGATATAACATTATGGAAACTGTTGAAGAAGACAAGAAAACTTCCTACATATTTTGACATTTTAGTATCATGTTCTAACTTGTGAGTAATTTTTACATTTTTTAAATCGAGAGCAATTTTCTTTTCTTCATGGACATTTTTCTCATGGAAGGGTCCATTTCTAACTACACTGTATGGTAATTTTACAGTTGTAATGATGATTAGGTAAATTGGCAAAGCAGGGCTGGAAGCTAGTCAACAAAGAGAGGAATGGTCTCCAAAAAGAAAGTTAAGTGATAAATGTGATAAATAGGCCTGTAATCCATGCAGGTCATAAAACTAAGTAACCCTTTCAGTTTTATCTCTTCCAAGAATTTCATACAACATTTCTTACTAATTGAACAATTAAGAATGTTCATATATTTGCATGGCTACCGAAAGTTTGCTTGGTATATCTGTGAAGTATGCTCATTATAACATGAGCAAATGTACAGAAATATGTGTAAATTAAAATTGTTACGGCATTTTGCTTGTTATAACAATGAACTCATTATAACTGAATTCAACTGTATTTGAAATAATGAGTTTTAGATTCATGAAAATTGCTAATTTATAGAAGCATATTTTTAATTTTCTAACTATTTATAATCAAGAAGTATGATTACAGTATATTCTTAAATGTTTTAAGTGATATAATTAAAAATTTCTTAAAGAACTTCAATTTTTTAGGTGGTAAAATTTGCTCTTAGTCACTCAAAATCAGCAGCAGCCAGAAAATTTTCAGTTGATAGAAAACAAGTTAGCCATTGGGTAGCTGATAAAGATCGATTAGAAAAATTACTTGACATGAGTGATACCACTAATAAGCCTGTTTTAGAAGACGTCAATGATGAAATATGGGAATGGTATCGAGAAATGGAGGATAAAGGTATAAATTTATTTTTTATTTTAAAATTTAATACATTATTTTTTTCTAGCATTTAAAGAATTAAATCTGTATTTAGTGAAAAAGCAAAATCAGAAATTTTATTTTTCTTTGAAATAATGAGTTAATTCAAAATAATATTTAATAATATAAATATTTAAAATACTTATTAAAAAGTAAATAATTCCGTAATCAATCCACACATTTCTAGAAATTAAGAATGTGTCTGTTAATTTTTTTCACAATATTAATAATAATATGAAGAATAATATTGCAAGTAATAATATTGTGAAGAAAGTTAATAGACAGAGTGACAGTTATAAATTATATACTTGAAATCTGCTTATTCAGGAGACCAAAATTTTGAAAATATTTTTAGAAACATTTTTGATTTTTTTTAATCAGCTTCAGCCAAAATTTCTTTGAAATCTAATTTATAACTTCTCATAGAATCTAGAAATACCACTAAAATTCAGACCAGACATGGAAAGTCAGAGGCTGGAGATCCCAATTAACTATATACAAACTTCTGCTCTGGGTCAGAAGTTGTGATTTTATTTTAAATTAAGAGATGGTTAAAAATTTCAGCCTGGCATTGTGACAATATCACAATGTCACAGTAAATAAATATTTTTAAATAAATAAATAGATTTAGTAATCTAAATATATAAAATTGCTTGTCTTGACTGACTGACTGAATGACTCACTCACTTACTGATTCATCTTCGCCCAGAGCAGACCGCTTAACCTAAAGAGGTGAAATTTGGTAGACAGTTAGGGTATGTCATGGAAACGCACACTAAGAAGGAATTTTTCGAAATTCCCAAGCGGAGGGGAGAGGGAGAGCATTAAGGCTTAACTGGAAGAATGGCTTCTACTGTACTATTTTAGATGCAATTTTTTGTTTTTATCTGCATTGTGGTATGGCATGCCATGAGAATGCACACTGAGAAGGGATTTTTCAAAATTTTCCTGCGGGGGAGAGGGAGAGCATTAAGGCTTAACCGGACGAATAGCTTCTACTGTATTATTTTACATGCGATTTTTTGTTACGTTTAGTCTTCATTAAGTACTTAAGTGTATTAAATTAATAACATTTCAGACATTGTTATAAATATTTTTATATATTTCGATTTTTTAACCAAATGTTTGAACCTTTTTAAATTCGAATTTGTTATTGCGTATTGGTTCAATTATAGAACAATTGTAAACATTCCAGAAAATTGATCAAATTGAAAATAGTTTGTTTGATTTTGAGCAATTCTCATCATTCTCGGCGGTAGGTACTATGGTTGTTGAAATACTGAATATAAATGGGGTTTGCTTGCATAACCTCCGCGGGCAAAGTTGCAGGTAACAGCTAGAAAACACACACTAAGAGGGGATTTTTCGAAATTCCCCCGGGGGGAGAGACAGGATTAAGGTTTCAACAATAGAAGTATTAAGTAACAATGAAAGTGTCAACAATAAATGTGTCAACAATGGAAGTGTTGCGTAACAATGAAATCAGGGGGAAACGATGCATTCTGTGAAAACAGATAAGGTTGACTATAACGTAATAATCTTAATCTTTGCTACCGTTACTTTTGCCTGAACAATGCCAGGCCTACCTGCTAGTTCTAATATATATTGTTATAGAAATGTATTAAATTATTATTTTGTATTGTTTATAATGGGTTGAGTCATAAATAAATTCCAGTTGAGGGTAAGTGTAATTATTGTTCAAGTACTTGTGAGAAAATATGCCACTTCATTAATGGCTATTAGCAAATAGTCTGTAAATCTAAATTTTAAAGCTGAAGTGTCAATAATGTATTAAGAATGTGTTTTTGAAGTCATTCAAAATGGAGCATTTGAAAGTACATATATGCTATATTATGCTTTGGGAGTATAAATTTGTCAGTAATGGTACAGAAACAGCCATGTCTATGGCATTGGCATGATTTCTGATAGAGCAGTTTTAAAGTGGTTTACAAAATTCTGTTCTGGTGATTTGTCTTTACACAACGAACGAAGTGCAGGCTACTCCTCAGACTTTGATGATAACATTTTAAAGATCTTAATTAAGCAGATCCCACAGCAAACAACAAGGGAGTTAGCAGAGAAGCCTAATACATTCCAATCAACCATCAGTTGTCACTTCCAAAAACTAAGGAAGGCAATTTAGCTAAAAGTTTGAGTTTCCTCATAATCTCAGTGAACAGAATAAGGTCAAAACTACTACCATGCTTTCTTTGCACAAAGCTGAATCTTTTTGGCAATAATTATTACAGGAAATGAAAAATGAAAATGTCATTCGAAAATGACAATGGATTGACAAAGATCATTGGCCTCAGTTAGCTTCCAAGTCCAGTGTGCATGGAAGAAAATTTTGTTATATGTATGGTGGGATCATCAAGGAATTATCAATTTCAAGTTGTTACTATGCAATGAAACTATTATTGGCAATTATATATGTTCAACAGTTAGAACAGCTTTGGCTAAACTTCAAGAAAAGTGCCATGCACCTAACACAAAAACACTTAACACATTAACAGCAAAAAAGGTAACCTTATTGTATGACAATGCAAGATCACACATAGCAAAGGTTACTCAATAAAAAAATTTGGAGTTGGGCTGATCTGTTTTGCATTGTCCACTATATTCACTAGACCTGACACCAACAAATTTCCATTTTTTTAAGCACTGCAGAACACTTTAAATGGACATTTCCAAAATGATGACCAGATTCAAGAATTTTTTGATTTGAAACCATCAGAATTTTATTAAAGAGAAATTGACAAGTTGCAGAAAAATGGCAAGAAGTCATTAATAATGATGATAAATATACAGTATATTAGATTAAAATCTATTGTTGTATATTTTATTGACATCTAAATTTCCTTTTATAAAACAGAATTTATGATTCAATTTAGTAATTTAAGTTATTAATATTAACTATTAAAATTTAATAAGTGTATAAATACAAAATGACATATTCACAAAGGTAAAAAACCTTGTTTCTGTCTATCCTTCTGCCGTATTAGAATTTAATTATATAAACATAATTTAATCATACTATTATTTTTAATAATAGTTTATATAATTATGACATAAATGAAGTGAATCTTTAGTTTTCACTATCAAAATCTATTGCATTTTAATTTAATTATAAAAAGTTTTGTTTTTTTATTTTAGGAGAAGAAACAACCAAAGAAATGATATGTGCACAAGCAGAATATTTTTTTAAAAGAAGAGGATGTACTAGTTTTACAGCTAGTGATGATTGGTATAGACAGTGGTGTGTAGCTAGAAATTTTAGAAATTCTCAAAAAGAAGAGGATCATTGTGTAGAGGTATTATTAGGAAAGTTTTAAAAATTAAATCTTATTTAGAATTTTCAGTTAGGAATTATTTTTATTTAGTTTAATATTATTAATAATATAATCAAATTAAAAATTTACTTTTATTTAAATATATATTTAATTATTGTGTATGCACACAAAGTTAACTGTACTGTTTAAATATATAAAATTGACTGTAGTTGTATATAAACAATTTTTAACTTTATATAATATTTTAACATTATTCCTATCTATTTTACAATTAAATTTATTGCAATGTAGACACCACGGTGATTTTTGTCTTTTTAACCTAATAGCAGCTTCATGTTCTTTTTTATATATAATAGTTCTCAATATTTCTGAGTTTTTGTTTAAAATACCTATTATTTAAAATAGAAAATGTAATTGATATTTAATCTGTGTTTCTAAAATTACAGAAAAGTTCTGTATAATTTCATTCATTAGCTTTTCCATATGAAAATTTTTAAATAAGATCTACAGGAAATTGCTCTCTGGTTACTGTTAATTATGTGTTTAGTCTAATGTAAGGAAAATTTTTTTTATAATAATTTTTCATTGGAATTTGCTCCATTTGTAACTAAAGTATTCTGCAATTTAACAAAGAGATACATTTTTATTCATAAAATTAATATTGGCATTCCTGACTAAAACCATCTTTCAGACATTTAAAAACATTTGTTTATTTTTCATGAACTCTTAAGTTAGGAAAATACACATTTTATTTATGCTTCATGATTTCACTTAATTTCTTTTTATAAAGAGCTACAGTGGAACCTCACTTAACAAGCATAATTCATTCCAGAATCTTACCCATAATGCAAAATACTTGTTAAGAGAAACAGTTTTACCCATATAAATTAATGTAAAATATGATAATGCATTCCATGCCGAAAAAATACTCAAATGTGTTATGTATAACATTTATTCAAAGACAATTATACAATATACATTGTCAAGGAGCATAAATAATCTTCATGTTTTCTTCATGCACGGAATGAACCAACCTGAAATGCAAATTCGATTTGCAGAAAACAAAACAATCACAGATAATGTCTTATGAAGATGCCAAACAATATGCCAAATTCTTGGGCTATGTAAAGGCTATAATTAAATATTAGAGGTTGTGGCTGAAGTTTTCATCTCTAAAATGTGAACGTCGAATGTTGAGTGCTGCCATCTTGTAAGCCTAGAAGTTTGACAGTGTGTTCAGAACGTCATTGGAATCATGCTCGACATTCCAAATGCCATTGTCAAACTTCTAGGCTTACAAGATAGAAGTGCTCAACATTCAATGTTCACATTTTAGAGATGAAAACTTCAGCCGCAATTTCTCTATTAGAAATTAATTAATTTGACTAGAGGTCGGCAGTTATGCTGCCAATCTCTAGTCAAATTAATTCATTTCTAATATTTAATTATAGTCTTTGCATAGCCCAAGAATTTGGCATGTTGTTTGGCATGTTTATTATATAACAGGCTATGGTTGTTGATGTTTATGCGTAATATGTATGAACACAAGTTTGGAAAAATGTGTGATCATAAGCGACACTAAGATGCTAGAGGAATGAGTGTTAAACACAGACTGATGGAGCATGTGCACAATCTGGAACTTCCCCTCTCCTTGTCACTCGTTGTGCGAAATGTTGCTTGTTAAGTGAGTCATTTTTTTTTACAATTTGTTTTGCTCTTTATATGAATTACTCATTAGGTTTGACTGTATTATGAAAATGTAAGCAATTGCAACTGTGCATTTCTGTGAAATATATTTATATGTAAATATATTATGTAAAGATTTTTTTTATGAGAATTAAGGTAAAAATAATAATAATATATTAATTCTAATGCAGGTGATAAAACATAAATTTAAAAAATAATGGTTCTGGTACTTTCAGGAAGCATGCTTCCTGAAAGTGAGAGAGTTTTTGGCATCTAAAAGTGTCTTCTACCTCATGACATTGTTACAATCCTCTACTCAATACTTACTGGACTTAGCCCCATGATTTCATTAATTTTTCCTAAAATAAAGATCCAGTTTATAAGGTAGCAATTTGAATAAATTGAAGAGATTGTGATGGAATCAATAGAGATGTTAAGTAGAGATGCAGATGTTGTCCAATTGCATGAACGAGGTTCGGGGGAAATTAAATCAGACATGGAGAATTTGTTGTAAAAATGAATATTTTCAGCAATGACCACAAAAGCATTACAGTAAAATGGAGTAGATTCTCAGCTAATTCTAGAGACATTAATTGGGAAAACTTGCCAAAACATAGGTAAAGCATGTGCTTTGAAAGTAAAATCAAATTTTGTTTACTTTGTTTCTGATTAGTCTGTCACTTGTTACATCATTGCCTACTTACATAGTTATGCATTTGCAGTAAGGACCCTTATCAAAACACATTTAGAAAGAATAAAAAAAAAAAAACATTTTTCATAAAATTTAAAACAATGGGATTGGTAAAATTCATAAAAATTTTTTGTAGATTCTAAAAATCAATAAAATAATTTTTAGATTAAAACCAAATAAAACTACTCTTTCTTATTCGATTTCGAGTGATTCATTTTAGCAGACAAACAAATAACAAAGAAATATTAAACTTTAATTACCAATAACTTCATAAAATTCAAATGCATTTCGCTTACAATAAAGCCTCATTAGTGGACATGATGAACTTTAACAATTTCTGTTCCTGTTATGCTGTGTGATTTTTTTCCCAGCATGCATCTACATTCATTCCGGTATTCAGATTTATCATATTAATTTATTAAGATTTATTTGCATATGCTACAATGCAAAATGTTCTATTAGTCTTCTTTTGAAACAATTTTTAACTTTATATAATATTTTAACATTATTCCTATCTATTTTACAATTAAATTTATTGCAATGTAGACACCACGGTGATTTTTGTCTTTTTAACCTAATAGCAGCTTCATGTTCTTTTAACTGTGTCTCCAACTTCCTTCCTGTTCCTTTCCTTCCAAGACCGACAATGAAGTTTTGGTCTTGGACAAGTACATGATAGCTTGTAAATGACACCTGCAACTTTAAGTTGGTTTTTTGATGTATTCTGGTCTTTGTTATTTATAACATTAATTACATTCATCATCTTATTTTTTTGTTTTGCCACTATACACATAGAAAATTTCTTGAAAACTGGTTTACAATTTTTAAGAAATTTTAGATTATTTATATAAGGGAACGTAACATATAAATTATTCATTATTTGATTTTTGACTTTATATCTATGATTTATATAATTTTTATACCACTTACATATTGTATTCTTTGGGTAATCATTTAATAAATATTTTGTAAATAATTTTTTTCTTTAATTCCATTATAAATATGCTTTTCTTGGTTTCTGTAGGGCAATATGATTTGTAATTAATAGTTTTCTTTGTATTATATAATTTTTCATACTTATGAAACAAAATTTAGGTATCGTCTCTTTTTATAGTAACATCTAAAAAATTTTATGCTTCTAACACAATAAAGTGCTATAAATTAAGACACTTGGCGGGTTGTCTCATCTTTATTTAGTTGATCAACTAAATAAAGATGAGTTTTTTCTTTAATTCCATTATAAATATGCTTTTCTTGGTTTCTGTAGGGCAATATGATTTGTAATTAATAGTTTTCTTTGTATTATATAATTTTTCATACTTATGAAACAAAATTTAGGTATCGTCTCTTTTTATAGTAACATCTAAAAAATTTTATGCTTCTAACACAATAAAGTGCTATAAATTAAGACACTTGGCGGGTTGTCTCATCTTTATTTAGTTGATCAACTAAATAAAGATGAGACAACCCGCCAAGTGTCTTAATTTATAGCACTTTATTGTGTTAGAAGCATAAAATTTTTTAGATGTTACTATAAAAAGAGACGATACCTAAATTTTGTTTCATAAGTATGAAAAATTATATAATACAAAGAAAACTATTAATTACAAATCATATTGCCCTACAGAAACCAAGAAAAGCATATTTATAATGGAATTAAAGAAAAAAATCATTTACAAAATATTTATTAAATGATTACCCAAAGAATACAATATGTAAGTGGTATAAAAATTATATAAATCATAGATATAAAGTCAAAAATCAAATAATGAATAATTTATATGTTACGTTCCCTTATATAAATAATCTAAAATTTCTTAAAAATTGTAAACCAGTTTTCAAGAAATTTTCTATGTGTATAGTGGCAAAACAAAAAAATAAGATGATGAATGTAATTAATGTTATAAATAACAAAGACCAGAATACATCAAAAAACCAACTTAAAGTTGCAGGTGTCATTTACAAGCTATCATGTACTTGTCCAAGACCAAAACTTCATTGTCGGTCTTGGAAGGAAAGGAACAGGAAGGAATTTGGAGACATAGTTAAAAGAACATGAAGCTGCTATTAGGTTAAAAAGACAAGAATCACAGTGGTGTCTACATTGTAATAAATTTAATTGTAAAATAGATAGGAATAATGTTAAAATATTATATAAAGTTAAAAATTGTTTTAAAAGAAGACTAATAGAACATTTTGCATTGTAGCATATGCAAATGTGATAAATCTGATTACCGGAATGAATGTAGATGCATGCTGGGAAAAAATCACACAGCATAAAAGGAACAGAAATTGTTAAAGTTCATTATGTCCACTGATGAGGCTTTATTGTAAGCGAAATGCATTTGGATTTTATAAAGTTATCAGTAATTAAAGTTTAATATTTCTTTGTTATTTGTTTGTCTGCTAAAATGAATCACTCAAAATTGAATAAGAAAGAGTAGTTTTAGGATGAAATTTTGTGTTGGCTTGAATTAAAATGAAATATTAACTAATTCCCCATAAGAAAAATTTGTAAATTAATAAACTGTGTTAAAACTCTTCAAATTGTCTTGATTAATAGCTAAATAGAAGTTTTATCGTCATTTAAAAAATAAAAGATATTTACATCAAAATATATTTTAAAATGTCATAAAAATATGGTTGTATTTTCAAGAAAAAAAAAAAGCTAAATGATAATGAAAAAAGTCTGCAAAAAACTAAAAAAAAAGCTTATCTTTTGTATTAGTGCATTTCTTAAATTTTCAGAAAAACCATTGTCATTATTGTAAATAAATTTTACATTTTTGAGATCAAAAACTTTGTTAATTATCACTTCATTCTAAAAATATTATTTGTGGTGACAGTGATGACTTCAATTTTATTTTTATTAATCAAAAACTTATAATTATGTGTGTTATTCTATGATGATGAAATGTTTGATATTGGGTAGTAAATTATACTTTAGGCCTATTTAATTATTTGTATGATTTAATTTGAATTTTTAAAACTGAGTAGTAATAATTATTAATTTGTTCATAAATTATTGTTTTATTTTGTGTGCTTAGTGTGCAAAACTTTCAGTTCAATTAATTTTGTGTATGTTTGGGGAAATTTTTCATCCTGAAATTATTCTGCACCTCTGATGTTAATTAAATTACTGACAAAGAAATACAAGTTCCTTTTGTATGTAGCAGAATTGTTGGCATCATTGCATAACTTTACAAGAATACTACTTTGAGAGTGATGGCAATAATTAGTTTTTAAAAGAAACAATTTTTTTTCAACAGCAGAATCAAAAAACTTTTGGCAAGCACCACATATCAAATTGAGCATGACATTGAATATATTTTGAAAGATTTTTTATAGCCATATTCAAAAATACTTTATCCAAAATGTTATTAATGCTTGACTCTTAGAAGTAATATTTTATTATTATTATTATTAAAGTATTTTTTATAAATTTTATTTTAATGGTTAATTAAATTTCTTATTATATGCTTATAATGACAATATTTTCTTCTACAACTATTTCTTCATTTTAACAATATTATAGTTTTTTCCAAAACTGAATTAACTTAATTTTTTTATAATATTAAAATATAACAATGCTTTTGAATTTTTATATTCTATATATTAATTAAATAAGATCTAATTTTAAGATATTTTTATTTTTAAAACATGTTAAATAAAAATTTACTCAATGATAATGGACAAATGAAGTAACATTAATTAAACAGGATTAGCAGTCAAGATTATTTAAATTTTTTCAGATAATATAAAATATTAGTAAATAAATAAATAATTTTTGTTTGCATACAGAAAAGAAAATAGCAATATTTTCCACCTTCTGTTTTACCCTTTATAATGAATATCTTATGCAATTTCTTATAAAATATTTATAATTGAACTTTACAATGTAATAATTTTAATTTTCTGTTATATTTCATTTTAAATTATAAATTAATGATAATAACTTTTATGATGTATACAGGAAACAAAACTTGGTGTGTTAAATTCAAAATCTACAAGTTCAAACAAATTGGAAGTAGATAGGAAACAAATATTTGAGTGGGTGACAAAAGAAAATTTTCTTCTTAATGAAAAGGATAATAATCCAGTATTAGAAGAAGTAAATGATGAAGTGTGGGAATGGCTTAGGATACAACAAAAGAAAGGTATTAAATTTGTAAATATAATTTTTATAAAATTATAATAAATAAAAAAAAAAAATACTATAGTTTCCTGCCTATAATCTGCACCAGCATATAACCCACAGAAAATTGTTAGAGTGGAAATAGAACATTTAAATGAACAAAATTTACACAAGTACTGTACTTTCAACAGTTCATTACTATCATTCTCAGGTGAGAAAGCTCTAACATAGAACACCTTTTGGCATTATAGAGAGTTTAATTTATAAATAAGTTTATACAATGCATAACTTGGCTTCATGTATTTTCACTCCTTATAATTACTGCTGAAACTTTTTAAAAATAATAATCACTTATAATGTTTTAAGTTTTATTTAAAATTTGAATTTATATTTCACTCTACAATTATTGTTAAAAATCTAGAAATAATAACAATTTATAACATTTTTGTGATTTATTCTAAAATTAAAAAGTTGTTCTGTTTTAAACATTTACATGCTTTTGACACTTATAGAAAAAACACACACAAAATATCCTATGACCGTGCCATAATCACAGAAAAAACAATTCATCACAGCAAACCAGATATCATTTTTTATATGTGATTTTTTGACAAAACAAAATTACATATAACATAGATATAACTGTACCAAACTCTCACAACATACAAAATACATACACTGAAAAAATTAGTAAATACTCAGAACTTGCCCAAGAAATGAGATGTCTCTGGAGAATGGATATGGTACATACTGTGCCAGTAGTAATACTTTTGTACGGGGTCATACCACATACACTACACAAAAGTCTAGAAACAGGCTTCACAATGACATATATAGTGAAACCTCTATTAATGGACAGTCCTAAATTGTGGACACTCCTACTTAACAATTTTACAATCCCCAGACCCTTCAAATAGGACATCTGTTATATTTACCTTTAAATAATAGATGCTGTTGTCCATAATCTCTTGTCAAAACACAAAGTCCTGCCTTCAATATTATGAAAGAATATAAATAACACCTTTAACTATCCAGCAATAAAAATGGTTAATGTGACAAAAATGTTTTCAACCGTTTTTTTTTAACAGCCATCTTCAGTTGAACCAATATTAAAAAAGAGCATTAAAATGGAATGTATGAAACACAAATTGAACAGAATCCAAAACGCGCATGCACAGTTCATCTGACTTGCGTCTTTGGATTATCTGTAAATAACTTACAAATAACATAAAATAAAGCTGCCAACAGGGAAATATACGTTGATTATATCGTATTAATCTGCGTTATTGTAAAAAGATTTCCAGGCATAAGATAACCCTTTCGCATCTCTACGATTAATGCATTCCTTGCTTATGTGAGCATTGTGTGTCTCTACCTTTTCAAGATGCTTCACTGCTTGTTTGGAATTTGTGACTCTAATAATTGAGGCTTGATCCTAATATACCTTGACCTCCTGCTGTTTGGCAAATGCTGTGAGCACTGTGCTATCCATGCTCTTACTCACAGAGTATTTGTGTTCATTGAGTCTTTGCTTTAACTGCCGCATAGTTGCACCAACGTAAACAAGGTCAGAGTTGAAACGCTGATCTTTTATATAGGTATAGAATATACTCCTGGTAAATTATTTTGCTTTTCCTTTCTCTTATTGTTTCTTAACACTCTGTAGATCATTGGATTATGCCAATTTACTATTCGTAGATTATTACTGTTAGCAACTCTCCTAATCATTTTGTTTAAAAAAGGAAAATAATTAATTACTACTATTCTTTCCTGGGTCATTTTGGGAGGATGCCGATTCTAATTCTGAAACTTCGTAATAAGCTCATCTACCTCTCTTCTCCAGTAACCCTGCTGCATTGCTGTCTTCCTAATGTAATCTAACTCTTTATAAGTATCATATACACTTGTGCAATGAGTATATGCCCATTTAATCCCTGCCCGAAACGCTGCATATTTAATGTGCCTAGGATCGATAGAATTCCTCGGAATAATAATGGATTGATAAATTGGTTTGCGATAAATGTCCGCCCAGATTTCTCCTTCTTTGCACGTGATAGCTAGATCGAGGAAGTTAATATTATTAGCACTCTCGTGCTCTAAATCCAATGTCAAACCATATGGGTTATTGTTGACTGTGTTTAGAAAACATTGCGCGTTGTTATCATTTCTCCACAGAATGAAAATATCATCTACGTATCTAGAGTATAATATTATGTTGTTTTGAAAAATGGGCAGGATATTGCTTTCCAGCTGATGCAAGACTAATTCACATAAGACAGCAGACATTGGGCTACCCATTGGCACCCCTCTTCCTTGTAGATGTCTTTTTCTTCAAAATCGAAAAATGATGTATAACGTACTAAGTTGGCCAGCTCTACAATTTGCTTGTGGTATTGCAGCAGGGTTACTGGAGAAGAGAGGTAGATGAGCTTATTACAAATTTTCAGAATTAGAATCAGCATCCTCCCAAAATGACCCAGGAAAGAATAGTAGTAATTAATTATTTTCCTTTTTTAAACAAAATGATTAGGAGAGTTGCTAACAGTAATAATCTACGAATAGTATATTGGCATAATCCAATGATCTACAAAGTGTTAAGAAACAATAAGAGAAAGGAAAAGTAAAATAATTTACCAGGAGTATATTCTATACCTATATAAAAGATCAGCGTTTCAACTCTGATCTTGTTTACGTTGGTGCAACTATGCGGCAGTTAAAGCAAAGACTCAATGAACACAAATACTCTGTGAGTAAGAGCATGGATAGCACAGTGCTCACAGCATTTGCCAAACAGCAGGAGGTCAAGGTATATTAGGATCAAGCCTCAATTATTAGAGTCACAAATTCCAAACAAGCAGTGAAGCATCTTGAAAAAGTAGAGACACACAATGCTCACATAAGAAAGGAATGCATTAATCGTAGAGATGCGAAAGGGTTATCTTATGCCTGGAAATCTTTTTACAATAACGCAGATTAATACGATATAATCAACGTATATTTCCCTGTTGGCAGCTTTATTTTATGTTATTTGTAAGTTATTTACAGATAATCCAAAGACGCAAGTCAGATGAACTGTGCATGCGCGTTTTGGATTCTGTTCAATTTGTGTTTCATACATTCCATTTTAATGCTCTTTTTTAATATTGGTTCAACTGAAGATGGCTGTTAAAAAAAACGGTTGAAAACATTTTTGTCACATTAAACATTTTTATTGCTGGATAGTTAAAGGTGTTACTTATATTATTTACATTTATTCCAGTATAAGTTCTTGTTTTATTTATTTAATTATGAAAGAATTTATTATGTATGAAATATTTTAAAACTAAAACAAAANGGATGCTGTGATTCTGATTCTGAAACTTCTTAATAATTTAATTCTTAAGAATAATTCTTTTTGTCACATTAAACATTTTTATTGCTGGATAGTTAAAGGTGTTACTTATATTATTTACATTTATTCCAGTATAAGTTCTTGTTTTATTTATTTAATTATGAAAGAATTTATTATGTATGAAATATTTTAAAACTAAAACAAAAAATCAGTTCAAATACTCTTTCAGAGGATGAGTTTTACTGTAGGCATTGAATAAAAACTGGCTTAAAATAGAAATAGAGGAGGAGGGCAGATTGTAAAAACCAAACAATATTCATTATCTGTTAGAGAAGACTAATCTGATTAAGTTGTCAATCATCGCTTATTGTCATATATATTGATGTTATTAAACTTCTATTTTATTGTTGGAATTAAGCTTACTGTACAAAGAAACCATAAACTTTTCCCATGTTATTCATTCATTTGACAAGAATTGTAGTACAGTAGTAATGGGGAAAAAATAAAACAGTTTTAAGGATAAGACAACAGCATTTATTTATGAAAGTTCAAAGATCATATTATGAAGGCGATTTGCTGGCACTTTAAAGTGTAGGAACATATTTAGTTTTCATACATTTATAATGTAATTTATGAACTTAACAGCTTTGTAGTGGCTAAATTATAATTTTTAATAAATTGGTTATTGAAAAACAAAATCAAAAAATGTTTGAAAAATTACACCTACTCGATAACTACAAAGCAAACAAATAACTATATCAGATTTTATTAGTTGCTTAAATAATGTTATAAATGCAAGAATACCAAATACATTTCTTATTCCTTAAAGTGGCTAGCAAATCACCTTCATAACTCAAAATATTCAATCTCTCACTACCTAAACCAAACTTTGTTCACCCTTCTGTTCATAATAACAGTTTCATTTTTCTTTTTATTACTTCTGCCCAGATTGTTTTTATGAATTAATAATTAATTAATGTTTATGTTTTGTCATATTTTTTATGCTCCATTTAAATAAAGTGTCCTGTACAATCTGTTTGCTATTTAGAATTCAATTAAAATGTGATTTTTACAGCTGAAAAGATAAATAATATATATATATATACATACATACATACAGTGTGTGTGTGTATTAATTATGTATGCTATGTATAATTTTTGGTATTTTCACATTCCTAATTCCTGATGCAAATTTGATGTTTTCGTAATCCATCATGTTCTTCACTTTATAATGACCAGAGTAAAAATACAATATGGCTGTTGGCATTAATGTACCTCCGAATAACAGACACCTCTAAATAGTGGACAAATTTCTTGGTCCTGATGTTTGCTTTTCGGAGGTTATACTATATATCAATCACACTGCAGAAGACTGCCATACTAAACATATGCCACATAATCAGGGAATTCTTAAACACAAATACATCCACTAACAGTACGTAAAGAAAATATTTTTTCCTGTAGTTATGTCTTGACTTTGGTCTGGCATTGTACTAGATAACGATATATGTAAGAGAGGAATTACTGAAAATTTATCATCATTCAAGCAACACTTCAAGGAGTGTCTAATAATATCAAATTTGGGCCAGAAAATAGGAGAGAGCTAAAGATGAGGCATGTTTATTTGTCTCTAGTGGTGTCTGAAAAAAATGCAATGACAGATGATTATATTTGACATGTTAAGATTTTTATTGTTTTGGAAGATGCTTTTTCTAAGTTTAGACAAAGGAAAAGCTGTTGGATGAGATCATAATTGCAATTTCAAATTTGTGGTAGCCTGCATCATTACATAATCTGCACTTGCTTTCAAATTGACTTTTAATCACAGATAACCTGCAAGTTATTTGCAGAAAATTATAGTAGTCTATTATTTTTCTTTTTTGTTTTAAATAATAATTTAAATATAAGAGTAATTTTATAGTATTTATATGCAGGAAAACAAGTTACAAAACGAATGCTATGTACACAGGCAGAAGTCTTCTGTAGTAAATTAGGTTATAATTTCTTTGCCAATGATGAATGGTATAAGCATTGGTGTGAAGTAAGAAAATCAAAAGGTTGTCAAGTTGAAGATATTATTGAAAATATAGAGGTATATTTATTTTTATTATTGAAAATATTGCATGTTAAATAAAATGAACGATATATTACATTTTGAAAATTATTGTTGAAATAATATTTTGATGTTTATTTTCTATTAGTATCAAGTAAAATTCTGCTTCTTAAAAAATTTTTGAAATATTTAAAGTAATCTTATAAAGAATTAAATAAAATATAATTAATTTTCAAACATTTGAAATTTTATTTTTATGATTAAAATCAAAACAAAAAATTTTAATCATAAATTACTGTTTAGAATCATATTTAATATGAATTTTCTAAATTCTGTTGATAAAAATTCTAATATCAAAATGTCAACTGATAGTGTAACAATTGAATGAAATCTTTTAAAATTTCTAGAATTGCATATCATTTGATTTCAAAAAAATACTTTTTTGTTTTTTTTAATGATGTTTTATTTTTCTCTTATAATAATTTAAAGAAAATATTATAGATTGTTTTTAGCAGAATATTTGTTGTTTGGGATGAATTCAAATCAGAAAAGTTCTTGACAGTTGCACTTAATAAATTGAATCGAACTATGATCATTCTAATTTGGAACAGAAAAGTTTGATTAATTTAAGAATAAGTTTAATCTCACTCTGTATATAGATTACACTGTTATAACTGTTACTTTTGTAATTAAGTTAATTTTATTCTAATTCACATATATTTCTACTTTAGTTTTCACTAAAAACTAATTACCAGATTTTTGATGTTGCTTCTTGATGTTGTCCAAAGTTGGCTGATTGAATAGACTTATCACAATCCAAAGTGCATTTCCAATATTATCAATAATAAAGCATATACTTTTGAACTTGATCTCTGACCTCATTACTTAACCTACAAAGTGTGATAAGTCTGTGCAATCACCCAACTTTGGGCTACATCAGAAAGCATTAATTCAGACAAGAAGCAAGAATATTTGCAAGAAATTCTATGAAAAATAATCTAACATTTTGTTTTCCCTAAAAACATTTCTTGGAAATATGCAGTGGCAAAAATATGCACAGAAATATGGTAAATAAAACAATATAAATTTTAAAATATTTTAGCTGATGAGGGAATTATTGCAGTGTTCTCACCAGCTAAATTAGCTTGATGAGAACACTGCAAGTATCTATTATAGATAGAAAATTTATTTATTACAGACAATTCTAGTAAAAAACATACTTTCTAGTTGTTATAAATGTAACTGAATATATATATGTGGGTGCTTCAAAAAGTTCATGGAAGAAGTCCGTAACTAAGAATTGTTTGGAAGGATTTTGATTTCAATGCACCTGAACATTCTTGTACTAACGTGTTATAACATGTTCAAACATGAACTCTTAAATGCAGGTAAGAACGCAGTGCCGCCAGTTGAAAGTCAAGCACCATTCGAGCAACATGGAATCCACCAAAATCGAGATCAGAACAAAAATTCTTGATTGGGTGAATAGGCAAATCATTGATGCTCTGAAACAAGTTTATGGTGATAACGCTCCAAAGAAGTCAACAACCTACAAATGGATAAGTCACTGAAAGGTACCAATTTTCCATCAGTTGAAGATGTAAAAAGAGCTGCTCTGACATGGGTCAGATCACAAGATCCTCAGTTCTAGTCAGATGAACTTAAAGGCTGGTATCAACATTTGCAGAAGTGTTTGACCTTAATGGAGCATATGTTGAAAAATAAACATCATAACTGAAATCATTTTTTCATACTATCCTTTTTCCATGAACTTTTTGAAGCCCCCTCATATATATATATCTTGTTGCTAATGTCATAATTCTGTTAGTATGCAAATTTATGAGTATTACTTAAGTATTCAGTATTATTCAATGATTTTTAGTTAATAATGTATGTTTGTAATAAAATATCATAAGTACAAAAATACAACATGTGGTATTTAATTGAAATTATTTTATATTTATCTGTTTATTTAAAAAGGATTGGAAGTATAAAGATGAATTTTATATTTGTGTGTTTATATTAAAACATCTTGATTTATTAGTAAAACTGGAAAAGAGATCAAATAGCTACAAATTAATTGAGTTTTAACGTTAATATTAAATTAAATAATAACTGTTTGTTATTGAAATCACTATAAAGACTAAGTTGTGGCAAGAAATAATCGGGTGAACTGAAGAAAATAATATTAAATGCACATATTGGAGAAAGAGCATATGGCATTGTTTTAATTGAGGTAAGTTGAATGTTTTATGGATTGTTTTGATGTGTTTTATTTTATACAATATTACATTGAATTCAGGTTCTTATCAGTTTATTATATCACTGTGATTTTATAAAAATATTCTGTAATAAATACAGATTAGTTTTCAAAAAATAAATAAATAAAATAATAAAATGACATTTTTTTTCTTTCTTTTTGAAAACTAGAATTAATTTAAAATTTCATTCTGATAGTTAAATGAGCCTACATTAAAACTTTTTCCAAATTAAAATTAATTTTCAATTGTAAAATGATATAATAATAAAATTGTATTTACAAATTTTGATAATATTAGTTGTTTCTTGAAATGTATTATTTTTTCAATCTTTCTCTTGCAATTTATATTTCTTATTTGTATTCAAATTTCTAATATTTCTATTTTTATATATTACTTTATCAGTGGTTTAATAAATTGATTGGGAACTACATACTAATAATAAAGTATTTCACAGATAATGAAATATTTTCAGGTTAATGAAACTACTACTACTACAGCTACTACTGATGGATTGAAAATTTTAATGCAGCATCATAAATTTAAAAGATATTAAAGTGAGAAATATGAATAAGCTTATAATGAAAGAAAATCAAGGTAAAGAAGTGAACAGTGGAAATAAATATTGTAATTTGGAAAAATACAACATGTACCATATGTTTTTTCATTTGATGAAATATTTGATATACTTAATTCATATATTTATATCGATCTGACCACTTTAATAGAATGGAAGGAAGGATTCTTATGAAGATTGAAGTTAGAAAACAATGCATTTACATTATCTACAAAATAATCATGTATTATCCATTATTTCTTAATGAATCATTAATGAAATTTTTTTTAAAGTTATAATTAATTTTATACAATTCACAACACTTGATGATGATACATGTATTTAATATGCAAGTAGAAAACATTTAAACATTTTAAAAGTTATTAGCCTGTTAAATAAACAAATCTTAAAATTTAAAATCAAAATTTTTCAATGAAAATTTTAAAACAAAAAGTTTTTTGCATTATTAGATTCTTGTTCCTTTTATACAATAGAGATTTACTGTCAGTTCTAAAATAAAGTTTGTTTAAATTTTCATTAAAGGGAAGTAAAAATTAACTGTAATTTAAATATGAAAAGAGTAATGATATAGAAATTTATTATTTGGTAGATATGTGTTTTATACAGTGGAATTCCTGTCTATTTATATTTCATTATTATAATTTATCTACATTTCAGTTTCATCTAGTTGGTGAGTATTATAAACTGGATGACACTTATGTTTTTATGTTTTATAATAAAAAAATAATTACATTCTGAAGTTTAAATCTTAAATAACGATAACTTTTTTCTTGTCTGTGGGTATTGAGAACTTTCTCCATATCAATCGTGGATTCACTCAGGACTACAGGGGAGGTGATCAGATGGTGATAAATGGGGTCAGATATACAGTATCTGGGACAGACAACTCATAAATAATATCTGGGGTTGCTCATCCAGATTTGATCCCAGGACCCAGAGTGATAGACATGTTTTAATCACACCAGCCATCTGGCCATTTAATAATATCTTTTCTAATTTCTTTAATTATATCATTTAAATTTCTAAAAGTAACTAAAACTTTTTCTGTTAGAATTTTGTTTCTCTTTATTAAAATGGATAAAAATAATGGTGTATGGAGAAAAATTGATAAATTGATTTTTCTGATTGTATTGAAATAGTCATTTTAATATATTTTTTTCATTTTAAGTAACTTTATTCGTATTCTGTAAAATAACTTTATTTTCAACAATTTTGATGTTAAATATTATTTCAGTATATATATTAAAATCATAAAAATGATAAAAATTTAAAAAGTATTCAATGGAGTCGAAAATTATTTTAATTTAAAAATTTATAAAATACAAGAAAAAAAAACTCTCTCTTCCGACTTCAGAGGTGATTAAAACATTCAAACAACACTTAAATCAAGAAATAATTATTTTAATTCTTACACTTCATACAATTATAAGTAACCTATCATAACTTATAATTGTATGATGAAGTGTAAGAATTAAAATAAGAGACAGAGTTTTTCTTGTATTTTATATATTTTTATATTGAAATCAATTAAATAATTTAGAAAACTACTTAAAAAGAGTTGCTTTACAACAAAAGTAATCACAACAAAAATGGATGAAGTTGGTATGGTATACAAATTGAAACCAAAGAAAAATTTTACAACAATACAGTAGAGCGTCAATTATCCGAATCAATTGGGGACTGGGGTTCAGAAAATCGATGTTTCGGATAACCAATTATGTACGAAAAAATATATTAATCTATCCCATGTTGAAATTTTTCTCCATTACGTGTCACATCACGTTGAACTTTCGTCGATGTTAAGCCTAATGAAGACTATTGTATCATTAAAAATTATTTCTTTACTAGCAGACCCCGCCACGCCTTGTTGTGGCTCAAAATGTATCTATTATAAATGTATAACACTTCCCCCGTGGGGGGGAATTTTTCGAAAAATTTCTTCTTAGTGTACATTCTGTTGACATACCCTATTAAAACGCAATCAAAAATGCAAAAACTCGCATCTAAAATAGTATAATAGAAGCCAAGTTCTTCACAGTAAGCCTTAATTCTGTCCCTCTCCCCCACAAGGGAAATATCGAAAAATCCCTTCTTAGTGTACATTCTGTTGACGTACTCTATTAAAACGCAATCAAAAATGCAAAAAACCACATCTAAAATAGTATAAATAGAAGCAAAGTTCTTTACGGTAAGCCTTACGGAGAAGGCTTACCGTAAAGAACTGTCCATCTCCCATGTTTAACGGAATAATATACAGCCTATGTCCACCCTGAAGTTCCATTCTAAATATTGGTGAAAGAATTTTTGAAATCGGATGCGTAGTTTCGGAGATTACCTGCTGCGTACAAACTTACATACATACAAACATTACCTCTTTATAATATTAGTATAGATTTTGTACAAACAAAATAAATATATTGAAAAATATAAAAACAATAAAAAATTATACTTCAGAAGTTAATTTAGTATCAAAAACGTAAAATATTTGAGTAGCCCAAGACATAGCCAAAGATTGCAGCGCCACAGCACTGGCGAAAATTTAAATTTGCCGACTGGAATTCTTTCAGATAATTGACTTTCAGATAATCGACGCTCTACTGTATTTCAATTTAATATACTGTAATGCAAATTTTCTGCACTGAATGATATTTATAGAATAATAATATAGCCATTCACCTTGGAATCAAACAATATTTCATAATATAAATATGGTGAAACAACTATGCTACAGTAGTATCATTGCAAAAAAACTCATAAATTATATAAGAGACTATTGCAATTAATGCAATACAATAAAAGATTTTATTCAAATATTTGTTTAATTTTGTAAATTATTATTTTCTTTTTATGAATATTATATAACAATTGTATTCATTTGTTAAAATAAAATTACTGTATTTATTTTTTAATGTTGTATATTCAATATGAATTAATATTTATGTTTAATAAAAAGTCTTAAAAATTCTTTATGGTAATGAATTATAATGGCTAATGTCCAAAGTAATTTAAATTATTATATAACACTTGTAATAACTAAATGTTTCAATTAAATTTTTATGTATTAATTCATTTACTATTCTTTATAAACCATAGTGTATAGTAAGGAGCATTAATATATTTATTTTAAAAATTAGTTCAGACACTTTATAATCTCAGCATGATTATCAAAATAACAGTTTTCTTGAAAGAACAATATTTTGAACATTATTAAAGCCAAATTACATCAAACATTCAAATTTTGTAATAGATACAATCAAACCTCAAGTTTTGAATGCTCCTTTTTTCAAACAATTCAGTTTATGAACAAAATTTTGAATGCCATATTTGCTCCAGTTGCTGTGTGATAATTCAGTTGTTGAACAAGCTACTCAGCAGAGCCAGCCACCCATGGTTAACTTCTTATACTTCCTGTGTTAGAGAAATTTGACAATTCAACTAATCAACAAGACTTCTGTGGTGCTGAGATTGCCTTGCTTCACAATACAAATCATTGATAATGTTGCTATTTAGCCTAAATTACATTTCAATGCATATGCAGGAAAGATACTATTTCTGTTTTTTTTTGGTACATGCCACAATTCAATTTAAATCAAATTAATTAATAAAAATTGTGTTAATTGACATTCACATAACATAAATGGCATTCACGAATTTGTATTTAAATATGCTTAACTTAAATTAAATGGCAAATTTTATTAATATAATATTACATATTATAATATTAGTACTTAAGATTTACTAATACTATGCGAGGTAATCAGTTAATTAAAACTAAAAATAATAAAATAATAATTAAAACTCTGACTTTTACACCAAAACTGAAACTAAAATTTAAAATAAAGTTAAAATTAATTAATTTAAATTTAAATTGAAATCAAATCAATTGAAGCATAATATTTTGGAAAGTGTGGATAAAGTATGTGTTGTCTGTGTTGATTGATTTGGTTATATTTTATGCTGGCAGTCAGAGTTGAGTCTCCATATATATAGCACTTCTTTGTAACATGTTGGTTTCAATTTCAGTTGGCAGTGACAGAACATTTTGCTTTTCATATATATAGAATAAATATAGATGTAGATATAGATAAAATAATAATATATTGCCTTTATAGGCATTTTTATGCATGAAAAACAGTTAAAAAGGTTTTGTTTTGGGGGTTAGGAATGGATTAATCCATTTTATATTGTTTCTTATGGTAAAATTTGTTTTGGTTTTAGAACATATTGGTTTTCAAACAACTTTTAGGAAGTTCAAAACCTGAAGTTTGAGTGTATTTTAAAATTGATTAAAAATTACTCACATACTGTTTTGGAATTATGCATTGGACTCACACAGATCTCGAGCAACTCCAAAGGAAAACAAGAACAACACTTACTAAGCATAAACATCATCATCCTAAATCCACCATAGAAAGATTAACCCTTCCACATAAAGATGGCGGACATGGTCTGATTGACATTATAAACCTTCATTATAAACAAATACAGTCACTGTGAGAGGTTTTCTACAAGAAATGAGAAACATCACAGTTACATAAAGCAGTAACTGTAGCAGACTCAAATAACACACCATTAAGCTTACACTCAATCATACAGACATGATACAACATATAAAAAGCACAGACACCATCAAGCAATTGTGGGCTCAAAAGGCACTCCATAGCAAGCATCCTTATGACCTGGCCCAGGATTTTGTTGACAAAATGCGTCACAGCTGGATAGATCGGGGATGCCTCTTTGGGGGGACGGAAGGATTCATGATTGCCATACAGGATCACGTCATAAACACTAAAAACTACAGAAAACACATACTCAAAGATACAACCCTCACAAATGACACATGCAGAAAATGTCACATCATGCCAGAAACTATACAACACATTACTTCTGGGTACAAGCTGTTGGCACAAACAGATTATTTACAGGTATAATCAGGTAGCAAATATAATACACCAAGAACTTGAAAACAAACACAAATTATTAGACATCCACGAGCCATACTACAAATACATTCCACAGACAGTATTGGAAAACAACATGCACAAAATGTACTACGACAGAGCCATTATCACAGATAAAACAATTTACCACAACAGACCAGACATCACACTCATTGACAAACACAATAAAATCACATACATTATAGACATAGCCATTCCAAACATTCACAATGTACAAAACATATGCACTGAAAAAGTTAGCAAATACACAGAACTTGCCCAGGAAATAAGGCATCTGTGAAGGATGGATAGGGTGCTTATTGTACCTGTACCTGTCGTTCTCTCCTGTACAGGTGTGATACCACACACACTACACAAAAGCATGGGAACATTACAATTGAATAGAAATACATACATCACACTACAGAAGGTCACTATATTGAATACATGCCATATTGTTAGGAAATTTAATAAGGAAAAAGACACTGACAAACTTATTTAATTTTAGTTTTTGGTTGCTATGCCTTGACTCTGGTCTGGCATAGTACACAGCCATCGATGTGAACCGAGTATAACCCACTAAACACAACAACAACAATAATAATAATAATAATAATGTAATTGCATGGTTACAATACTTAAAACTTGTGCATAGAACCAAATTTTAAATGCACTGTGAGAAAAATAATGTGTATTGTAGTTTAGGTAAGTTAAATATCTACTGAAGAGAAGGAAAAATTTCTTAAATAATGCATTTTAAACTTTAGTTAATTAACCTTGTTTTTGCTGAAAATAATTAATTGATAAGAAATATAGCATTAACAAATAGAAATTTGTTGAACAAGACTAAATTATCTTACTAAAACATGGACTCAGTTTGGATAATATGACTTTTATATTATCCAGATAGAGTCCATGTTTTAGTAAGATAATTCTTTATTTTACTAAAATTCAATACATAAAGAAAAACTATAATTTTCAAGTACTACATATACTCATCATCAGGAGTTGAAATTAATTTGAATCATACATCAATGAATTGTTATAATAACAACTTATTTAAAGTATATGAAAAGTACTGTACATTTATGTTTTATTTTATAATTATCATCTTAAATATTATCAAAATATTGCAACAAAAAGCAAAATAAACAATCTTATTGTAAAAAATCATATATTTATGCATGTGATGATGTTATTTTCCATTAAATTTATAAAAGAATGTATAAATAACTTTATTTGTAGGAAAATTTTTATTCCTTGTAACTATTTTCTATTGTTAGACACTAAAGAATTGCACAAGTCTTTATTTAATCTATAATAATGGAAATTGTGTCAGAAAACAGTTCTAGAAATCAAAGTTTTTGATCTTTATAATAAAATTAGATTTATATATTACATATGCTGTGAAGAATTTGTTTTAACATTCATATATATTTTGTAAGTTTAATTTAGTATTTAATGACTAATTGAATTTATAGCAACAAATTAGGAAGTTATTAGTAATTATAATAGTTAGATGATGATCTTTATTGAATTTAATAATGAAATAAATTTTATATAAATTAATGTAATTTGCATTTTCAGTCATTTTCAAGTAAGAAGTTATTATTTGTGATTATACTTCTTTGAAACTCTAATACATTTTCTAATTTAGTTGTCAAACCATAAAACGGTTAAAATTTTTATTTATTTAATTTTTTTAATTACTACAGTTTAGTACTAAATAGCTAATGTAAAATTAATATATTTAACATCTGATTATTATTAATTTTAATCTTGCCAATTTTTATATATTTTATTTATTAATGTGAGATATTTTCTGTTTCAGCCTTGTGTAGATGATGATGGAAATAAAGAAACTTACAATACATCTGTTACGGATAAACAGTCGGAAAACAAGCAGTATTCAGTCCTAACATTTGAAAATAGTGCCTTGTCAGATAATATAGCTACCAGTGATGCAACAGAAGATAATTATTCTGATTATACTGCTGTAAAGAGGATAAGATTGAATAATGAAGATGAACAAAATGCATTTCCTCAGTCTAATGAACCAGTTTGTGAAGAAGAAGAAAAATGTAAAGCGTATCCTGTTGGAATATTTAGTAACACAGCTACTCAAAAACTAACAGTACAAGATTTATTGAAATATAATCATGAATTAAGTATTAAAGATAATACTGATACAGAGAATGATGATGATGATCCAATTGCTGTAGAAGATTTAGATTATTTATTTACATCACCAAGGAAAAAAGGTGCTCAGTATCCTCCAGAATTCAAAGAAAGAGTTGTAAAGTTTGCTTCAAAAACCAACTATAAAAAAGCAGCCAGAAAATTTGGGGTACATCATGCAACAGTTTCAGTATGGTGCAAAGAAAAAGAGAGGGAGAAATTAGCAACATCAGCTACAAAAGATCCAGAAGGTAATGGTAAGTCAGCAGAGGAAAAATTTTTAGTCTGGATTCGTGCGTGTAATGAAGCAAGTGTTAATATTAAACATACTGATGTGAGAGAAAAAGTCAAAGAAATAATTGATTCTGTTGGTGAAAATGAAGTTGAAAGAACTTGCAAGTGGTTCTATTTATGGTATAAAACTAAAATTTTACGTGAAGGTTGTATAGAATATGGATTAGCAGATCTGATTTATCCTCCATCTTGGAAAATTGAAGTGCTTAAAGTTGCCCAACGTCAGAGTTGTAATTCTGCTGCTAATTGTTTTTTTATATGTCGTAAACAAGTAGTTGAATGGATGAAAAACATTGATCGACTTCAAAAACTTGCAGAAAATGGACATACTAAAACTGGGTCTGGGAGAAATGCATTATCAGCAGATGCAGATAGAGAGATTTGGGAATGGTATGAATCGTGTAAAGCTCGAGGTTGTACACCAAAGTCCAGGGAAATTAGGATAAAAGCAGTGGAAATTTTTAGAAAACATGGCCATTATGGTGCCAAGGGAAGTGCTGGTTGGTATAAAAGATGGCGTAAGCGGTTTGGAGTTCCAGTACAGTCTCAATTAGAAACTGAAGGTGATAATCACAAAGTTGCCTCAGAAGGAGTTTAATAGAGAGGGGAAATAATCTTGTTTGATTTATATTTTTATCTCAGTGAAAAACCATGGTTTGAATATTCAGTCTATATGGTTGTCCCAGTGAACAATATAGTGATCTGAATGAGAAAAATTTAGTCTGCGTATCAACAAAGTTACAGGGTTTTATATTGTGTTTGTGCTGCTTTTTTGTGGTAAAATGGCCAGTAGAGCCAAATTTATGCAATGTAGCCAGCAAATATAATAAGAAAGACAAAGTATATGTAATAGTGAGGCCTTTGCATTTGTTACATTCCAAATTACGCACTAATTCATCTGTGAATTCATCCATGCCATACTTTCCATAGGTTCAACATTATCATTTAGAATCACCACTGTAAAAAACATTAGAATTTCAACAACGACAGAATGAAGCAGATAGAAAAATGAATATTCAATTTCAAAGTCGTATTATTTGATAATACCTTTGTCTAACAAATGATGATTTCTATACAAGTGGAAGTTATATTAATCTGCATAATAAGATAAGTTTTAATAGAACAAGAAATTTTTGCATGTCAGATATATATTAAAAAAATGCAGTTATTCTACAAAAGTGGAAGTTATATTAATCTGCATAATAAGATAAGTTTTAATAGAACAAGAAATTTTTGCATGTCAGACTTATATTAAAAAAATGCAGTTAAAAATTATATATTGTTTATTGTAGTTTCAAAACAGTATGTGATCAGTGTGTAATAGGTGTTCAGATTCTGTTATATTCTGTGAAATTCAAAAAAAAAAAAAAGTTGAGATAGGGATAATCTAAAAAACGGGTGTAAAAATGTTTGAAAAATTACAAAAATTGCATGGGAGAAACACTTAGATATTACAATGGTCACATAATGTCCAATTGGATTATATTATAATATATCAAAATATTTTACACAATTAGGAAATGACAGCAAACCCAATTTGGACCTAACAATGTTAGGGTGGCTAGTAAAAGGTAAATTACAGAATTTAATAAAAGTTAGGTATATTTTATTGAATTCTTTTGTGGTTTTTTTCCTAACAGAGGGGAGGCATCCATCAACCAGATTGGTATATAGTAACCAATAAGTGATTGAAAATTACCAAAAACAGAATGTAAAGTTGTTTTAGAAGATATTGAATGGTAAGGGATTTAACTATCCTTTCAACGTGAGTTTTGAGACAAAGTTCACTATCAAAAATACAGTAGAACCTCGAAAACTCGGCCTAATGTGGACCGACGGGTGGCCGAGTTTGTGAAAATGCCGGGTTATCGGGAATGGGNTATATATATATTAGAAATGTATTCATTGTGAAGCTTTATAAATTAACTGTCATTTTTAGACTGCATCTCCTGTTTGTCTTGAAAAGGCAATCAAGAGTATAAGAAACAAAGGTCACAGTGATAAGAACACTGATTAGGCCATGTCCAAGCCAAATTGTAATTCCTGTCACACCAATAATGTACTGCCATAAAAATCCCATACATCGATGGCTAGTGAAGTCTAAAATCATTCCATCCTCGTGTGTTCTTACTGTAATCTTTCTGATGAACAGAAAGATATTCTGTTTAGTGTTTTGTCCTGTTTTATATATTAGAATATATTTAAGACAAAAATTTTTGTACTCTTGTCTATAAGATTGTTTTATGTGTAGTTATAATTTTTGAATTTGAAATTTTTTTTAATGAGTTAAAGTAGTTAAAATAGTGTTACCTCAAGTTTTATTTCCAGACGTTAGTATTTAGTCAGAGTGTTTTATTAGCACATGCTGGAAATGCCTATTGATTTCATGGAAGAAGCAAAATGATTTAAGATATTAATTTTATATCTTTCTGTTTATATCTATAAGATTCGTAGACATTAAGTTACCATTTTGTAGTAAGCATTTTTATTTATACATCTTATAAAAGTATTTTTTATTAAATGTTGATAAATTAATGAGTAAGTCTTTTTTAATTTAATAAATCATTTAAAATTGGTCATTTAAAAAAAAATTGTAATTCATAGTTTGATTTTTTTTTCTGTTTTTAGTTTTAAAATAACAAGCATGAATTTTGATAAATACAATTTATACAGAAGCATAATTGAAATATTTTTTTTTTTACATTTGCTACTTTTTTTACTCAATTATAAATTTGTTTTTGTTATTTATTATTCAAGTTTAAATCATTCATAAAATTTATTTCTCCACAATATGCCTTCATGCCTTGAGAAAAATTTAAAAAGTAGTAATTGCAATTATTTCATGATCAGTTTATTTTTTTAAATAATTTTTTACTATTATTAAATTAAAGTTTTATCTGACCACAAAATATATTTTTTTCATTTAGGTGTATGTTTAAAATCTTTATCTTTAAAATATAATTAATTTTATATTCATGTTAAAATATATATTGGTATAAATTCAATTTCTTAAAGAAAACAAGAATTATATTTAAAAAACAGTAATATTTCATAAAGATGCTTACTGGAAGAATTATTTTATATTTTTGTACTTAAAAAAANTCAGTCCAATATGATAAATTTATTTTAAAAATTATCATTTAGAGATTCAACATTTTTTTCATTCTCTTCATGGTTTAATTCATAATAACTTTAATATTACATTATCCACAAAACTCTTATGTTTATAATGATGGTAATATACACTAGTATGGATAGGCCAAAGATATTAACAAGTGATTAAATGTTGCTGGACTTGCTAGTGTAATGTTTTTGATTAATTAATTTAGGCAGATCAGTTTTATAATCAACAAAATTTCATTAGTTAAAACCAACTGAATGGGATTCAAACATCAGTTCTCACATATGTATTTTATTGATTGAATCATTTATTCTCAAATCAGAATCTTTTCTGAAATATTAAATTTAAAATAATGTAATTACAGCAATTCATAATACCTAAATTAATCAATTGAAAATATTATATAACTAGTAACTTTAATTATTACCAAAGTTAATATTACATTTTTGTTATAAATTACTCTGCTAAAAACTGTAAAATGTAAGTATTCTCTTTTTTCATTTATCTTATATAAAACAATAGCAATATTATTTTTACCACAAAATACCTGAAAATGAATATATAACTATGCAAATTCCATTATCATAAATGAAATACTTTTAATAATTGAATAATTGAACTGGATTATATAATTATGTAATATAAATTGTGCAATTCATCATCAGTTTTTAAAATCAAAAATTATATATATATAATTATATACTATGAAAGGAAATTGTTTATTTAAATCTTAAATCAAGAAAACAGTTTTATTTTGAATAACAATTTTATATTTGATAGATTTTATAATAAAATTAAGTTTTCTTTGAATAATGCAATATTACCTTGATTATAATTGTTCATTTTAATACTTGCATTTAAATGTTGCAAAATGAATCTTTTATAAGGTCATGGTTATTTAATTATATCTTTGATATGTCAGAGCATTATGTTCTGTAGTGTCTAGAGTTCTAGACATAATTTTGAATTCTATAAAACAGCCATTGAACAGAGAATGCAATTTTGTTTTTCTTGAGCATCTTTTGAGAACTGGTTTTAAAGAAATTTTTGCTGTTTATAAGTCATAATGCCATATCCTTTTCTTGATTTTTTATACATTTGACTGGTTAATATCAATTCTTTAGCCACACCATGAGATAAAATTGAATTCTTTTTTCTGTATGACATAACTTTTTCTTTATTTTCTGATTGGGAATTTAAGTTGTTAGAAAGGCATATGAGAGTCAGCCAACGGTCCCAGCTTACTTAAATTTCTTAAGATATCTTTGCACAGTACATTGTGTGAAGTTTTATAAACTTTAGTGAGGTTAGAACATGGAAGTTTCAGAATTCTCTGTCTGTTTGTGCAAAATAAATATGCAAATTTGTTGTTCTGATAATTTTTACAAATGAAATAAAATGTAATATAAATTTGACATTTATAAAATGTCTAGGTATTTAAAATTTTGATTAGAAATGGTGTAGTTGAAAATATTTAATAAAATGTGACAGTTTAATCATGATCAAACTTTAATTGATTTTTTTAATCAGTATAGTAAGATTACAACAGATGTATTTTAATATACATAATTTGATAAATATTAAATGACTTCCTTCTTTACAAAGTGGAAAAAATTCATTATTTTGGTAGATATGAAAAGATTGATTAAAAATAAACAGGGATTATATATAAATATTATAGGATGTTGTTTTAAATAATTTTAAAATAATGAAATAAAATCAAATATTAAAATCTATGTGGTTTTATATTAGTACCATTTGGTCTTGTTTTATACATGGGTTCAGTGTCAGAAAATACTATATAAAATGAAATTCCATTTAAATTTGTGTTGCATTCCAAGTAGTTCCAGATTATTGTGTAACCATTTATAATTAATAGAAAAAATTAAAATGTTTTATTTATGTTTTTATTATATCATATCAAGTACTCTAATTAAGCTAAATATTAGCAAATCAGGATATTCACTGTAGTGAGTGGCATTCAGTAGTAGTATGTGTTTGGAATGTCACAGACTGGATAAGCATGGCTTAGTGGCGTTAGAAGTGAGTTAATCTAATCATTCTTCATTTGTGAAAACAAATTGTGTATCAATCTTGCATAAAACAAGACCTTACTGTATAATACTTCTGCTTATAACTTTATAAACCCACTAAAATATTCTATTAAATAAATTTTAATTTCAATCTACAGTAGAACCCCTCTAGTCCGTCACTCCGGTTAATCTGACCGTGGTCGGAGTCGAGAAACTTGTCCCGACTTGTCGTTGACTCACCGTGCGTGGCGTTTTTCTGTGTTCATTACAGTATATGTTTTACATTGTGTGTATGTGTACAGTTGTGTGTGTTTTCAACGTGTCAGGAGTGAAACATAAACACGTTACTCTTTCATTAAATGAAAAATTAGCAGTGCTACAAAGACTGAACAAAGGGGAAGATTGTTTATTTTACTTTTTTCTGATAATTCGATTTTTTTTGTGTTCCGACCATACCCCCAGTCCCAAAAGTGATGGATTAGAGGGATTCTACTGTATATAAATTTTTTTAACAGTTATTCTTTGATGTGTTATTAGTTTGTTTATTCTTTTTAACATCATAAAATTCAAGTAATGATATGAATGTTAACAAAAAATACCAGAATGCATTAGTTTTTATTTTATATATTAATAAATCTTTCTTTAGAATCATTAATTAAAGTTGTGTGTTTATCTTAAAAATTTTAATTCAAAATTTATTATTGATAAATAAAATAATTAAAATATGCCTTTTTTCATTAATAACAAAAATATAATTTTGTTATATATTTTTATCAACCTCATTGATTTAAATAAAATTATTTATGGAAAATATAAGATCAGAATTATTAATTGTAACATTTAGATTTTAATAGTTTGAATTGTATTAATTTTATTTATTTACTGTTTAAATTGCAGCATTTTCATTTAATAAAAGTGAATATTAAAGAAAAATACATTATTATAATAATACAATAGTGGACTTTATTCAACATAAAATTTTCTTAAGAAAAAAAATTGCTACAAAATTCATAAATTTCTCAAATTA